ACTTCCAAAACCTTTGTGTGAAAGAGAACCATATGATGAAGCAAGCCGTGCTCGCTGATTTGGCTTATGTGGAGCTGGCGCTGGGAAATCCATCAGAAGCCCTATTGACTGCAAAGTCCCTTTTGGAACTTCCTGAGTGTTCTAGAATATATGTCTTTCTGGGGACAATGTATGCAGCCGAGTCTCTGTGCCTACTAAATCAGCCCAAGGAAGCAGCTGAATACTTGATGAAGTATGTTTCAAGTGGGAATCATGTTGAGCTACCTTACAGCCGAGAAGACAGTGAAAAGTGGAAAGTGGAAAAAATGCTCGACAATGATGATTCGCAAACTGGGCAGGTAGCTTCTCTTGCTGTCTCATCACCTGATGAGTCTGTGTTTTCTAGTCCTGAAGAGGCACGCGGAGTATTGTTAGCGAATTATGCTGCCAATTTTGCTTTGCTGGGAGACATCGAGCAGGCTCAGCAGTTTGTGAGGATGGCATTATCAGATATACCTAAAAGTCCACAAGCTATACTTACAGCAATCTATTTGGATCTCAAGTGCGGCAAGACACAAGAAGCAATTGAGAAGTTGAAACAGCATGGTGCTGTAAGGTTTTTCCCTGGAAGTTCTTAGTTGATTGGATCTTGATTGTTGTGTGAGTTAGCAGGTAGCCTGACAGTCCAGGATGTGTAACATATATATCGCTCGATTCAAGAATAAGTTTACATTTTCCTTTTTCTTTTTTTTTTTTCTTTATAAAATTTTCAATTTTAGCATTTAGTGACTGGTGGTGTGGCTTCATTTTGTTGAATAGAGATTTCCCACCTCTAGTATTCAAGATGTACTTTTGATTCAGAATGATGTGCCTTTTAGAGGTAGATTTCGTTTGGACTTGGTTGCGTATAGAGGGAGGCATGCGCTCTTGAGAAGTTGCAGAATTGGTACTGGCATGTTCCTATTGTAGATGTTATTATTCAGGCATTTCAGTTTAAACTGGACTCACAAAGGTTGTAGCGATATGACAGCTTCTTCTGTCAACTTCATCACTTGAGCAAGTAATCCTTGCGAGTTATTGGGATTTGGAATTTTGAATTTTATAGTGTTTTGTGTCGGATCCTTTTTGGAGGACTTTATTTGTTTCGTATGATGGTGTGAGATCAAATTAATGGTTGGTGGGTTGGTATTAAGATAGAATGTGGTGTCACTCCTTGTAATAATTGTTTCCTTTGATAGATATCTCATGATGCACAATTTCGCATTGGTAATTTTGCCCCCATTCCAAAGAAGTATTTGCAGTGAGGTCATTTTTTATTGAAATTTCTTTCAAATGAAGATCTAAAAATTTCTTTCCAATGAAAAATATTCATCAGCGATCAATGGTTGATATAAAAACACCATTACTTAATACAAGCATCTGGTAGATGAAAATTAGTGAACCGTGATGTAGCACAGAAAAAGCCAAGTGGACTAGCTTGAGCCATGGGTTCGGGTCCGGCCAATCTAGCAAAGATAAAGCTCGCTTATGCTGTCTAGCGAAGATAAAGCTCGCTTATGCAATTTAAGAGATATATGGTATTGATTAAATGTCTTTTAAGAAAGATTCTTAAAAAAGATGGAAGTAAGATATCTATATTTACGCAGTTATTCAGAAGGATCGGAATCCTTGGATATGAAGGAAACTCATTGTCTTGGAGACTAAGTCATTAAGCCTCTATAAATAAGGGATCCATGTTTGATTTCTACCCTAAGCTCTTAAGATTCTCAAGTACCATACATGATTGAAGTATCGATTTTTTAACTTGAGCGTCGGGTGTCTACGCATGCGAATGAGGCTGTCGGAGTCTCAAGAATGCTTATAGTCGTGCATACCTTGCGCGCAAGAGGGTGACTCGAGCAACAGCCGAAGCACGCGGCAGCGAGGCATGCACGACCACTAGAGCGGGTGACGACTCGAGACTTTCGCGCACGGGCGAGACGACGCATCGCGGAACAACACACGCGACAGTTGGCGGGCCGCTCGAGAAGGTCGTGCAAGGCAGAAAGCGCGCGGTTGCCTGGCATGGGCGGACAACTGTGCATGACAACTTAATGAGCAAGTAGCTAGGATGCTTCTAGAAGATCTTGGCTGATTGCTGAGGATTTAATTGATTAATTTTCTTATTATGATCCCTAATTTTTTAGGGTTTAATTAAGTTGAGTACATTAGGGTTCTAGGTAAAGATTGAGATATTTACTTTCCTTAAGTGTAGAAGTTACTTACGACTTGCTTTCCTTTATTTTTTAGCATTGTAATTTCATGATTTTCAGCATCCATGAACTAAGAAAAATTAATCGTGTGATCACCTCTCTCTCGTGTGTAAGATTAGGCACTAGTGTGGGTTTTATCACAAATTTTCTTGCGAACGGAAGGCCGTTAATGCACCCGTTCTCGCAAAATCATGTCATTGGATATACAAACTTCAACATTAGTACTTTCATTGAGAGTGTTGATCGTGTATCCTCTTCATTTTTTCAAAAATTAGTTCGCATTAAAAAAAAATGGACGTGTTATCTTCATCGTCATGGCAACAAACAGTGAAAGGCTCACAATGGAGGAGAAATTGGGGTCCTTAGCGACGGTGAGCATACCGCGAATCAATACATGGCTCGACTCGAGCAAATTGTGCACGACCTTGCCACACAATTCACACAATTTGAACAACGTTCACGGAGAAAAAGAAATCCGAGTCATCCTCGTGAATTCAACTGACTCGGAGATGGATCGTAACGATGTGGAGGGCGAGTTTGACAACCAGTCCCGAGGCTCTAATCGCCGTGAGGAGTGGGGCGCCAATCATTGTGACGAACGGAGGTTCGAGAAGCCCAAGATTAATTTTTCCACGTTTAGTGGGACGGACCCATATGTGTGGTTGAGTCGAGCCAATCAATACTTTGATATTAACAAGGTTCCTAAGGCTGAACGGGCGAGGTTTGTTGCATATTATCTGAGGGATGAGCGAATTCGATGGAGGGATTTAGAAAAGAAGTTAATAACGAGGTTTGGATCGTCAGATTACCATGAATACAATGAGGCCTAATCACATATCAAGCAAATGGGAAGCCTTTGAGACTACCGAAGGGAGTTCGAGCGTATAGCGAGTCGCATGCGCGACTAGCCAGAGAGCGTGCTCGTCGGCATGTTTGTTGAGGGATTAAAACTTGATCTTGCTGCCGAGGTATGCCTGGAGAGGCCTCGGAGGATGAGAGTAGCCATGGAGGCCGCACGCATATGGGATGACCACCTGGTCGGGGTGCGAAGGGCTGGGAGCGGAGACGGGTGCTTCACCGAGCTGCGCCGCATAGTGCCAACCGCGCCCATCGTCAACCGGGGCATGAGCAGGGTTTCTTCGAGAAAACCTAGACCTTTGCCACCTCGACTTAGGAGGCTCTTGTATGAAGAGATGAAGTGATGACATGAAAAATGGCTATGTTTCAATTGTGACAAATAAGTCATGTCGGGCCATCGGTGCAAACAAGCGTTCATGATTGAATTGGTCGATTCCGACAAAGAGGAGCCCTTACTAGATGAACCAAGGGCTGAAGAGGCTGAAATAGAGGTGCATAACAACGATTCAGAGTCCATGGCCGGAACTAAGGGGCTGAAGACCATGCGGTTGCCGGAGTGGGTTCAAGATCGACGAATTAGGTATTAGTCGACAATAGATCTTCTCACAACTTTATCAATGATTCTTTGTCAAATCAGCTAAATCTACCAACCACTAATGTGGAGCCATTCGATGTGCGAGTGGCCAATGAGAGCTTTTAAGGTGTTCGAAGTCGTTTCGTGGCGTACCGATCAAATTTCAAGACGTGACCATGAAAACTGATCTTTATGTCCTACCTTTGGTTAGGCCGGATGTGGTTCTTGGAGTCAAATGGTTAGAGAAACGTGGTCAGATTACCACAGATTATAAGGTGGGAACCATGGAATTTAACTCGAGAAATCACCTGGTTATTTTAAAGACGGACGCTGACGACGTGTCAAGGAATCCGGGTTGAGAAACATTGAATGGTTTTGGATAGGAGGCAACCAAGTGTTTGCGGTCATGATAGAGGGTGGAATGAATGATTCTAGAGGGTCATCGCCGCATCAAAGTGAGGTTTCGGAGCTATTGGATTAGTTCGAAGAGGTGTTGTCCGACAAAGGGGTTACCTCCAAGGCGGGTGTACGATCATCACATTCAGCTCATTGATGAGACCAAGGTTTTCTATGTGCATCCCTACTGTTATGCACACTTCCAAAAGGCTGAAATCGAGAAGCAAGTTGGCTAGATGCTTGAGTCCAGGAAGATTCAGCATAGCACGAGTCCATTCTCATCGCCAGTGCTACTTGCAATGAAAAAAGATAGTACTTGGAGGTTTTGTACGGATTGCCGGGTCTTGATAGTGGCAACTGTCAAGGACTGCTTTCCAATAGCGAGCATAGACGACATATTGGATGAGTTAGGAGGGTCTCGATACTTTTCTATGTTGGATTTGAGGGTCGGTTATCACTAAGTTCGAGTTGCAGACATCCGGCTTTTCGCACACATCAAGGGAACTATGAGTATTTGGTGATTCCCTTTGGATTGTTTAATGCACTTTCTACCATCCAATTTTCCATGAATTCAACTTTCTAGGAGTACTTGAGCAATCGTATTGGTGTTCTTCGACGACATCCTAGTCTACTAGAAGAATTCGGTGGAGGCCTTACCTTTTGGGGCGACACTTTTGAATCTTGACGGACCAACATCCCCTAAAACATCTCTTGGAGCGGCATATAGTGACTTAGAAAAACAAAATTTTGTCTCGACGTTGATGGGGTTCGATTTCGAGATTATTTACCGGCCGTGGCGACAAAACTCGGTGGCGGACTCACTATAGCATAGAACCGATGTGGTTGAATTGGAGGTTGTCTTCAAACTGACTTGAGCTGTCTGGGATGAGTTACGAGAAGCTCAGGCCCAAGGTACCTTTTGTGAGAAAATTTGGTGGAAGATGAAAGCCCAAGACGAGGCGGCTCGCAACTACGATAACCATGATGGACTATTATTGTTCAAATGGAAGGTTTACATGCCGAATTGTGGCCAAGTACCAAGTGCGATCATAGGCCACCTTTATATCTCAAAGGTTGGAGGTCGACTCAGGCTATTATCGCCCTTGAGTGAGGCTGACCAACATATTTTATTAACCCGGACAACAAGACGAAGTGTCAGACTTTGTGGCACGGAGTGACGAGTACCAACAGGTGAAGGTGGATTCGTGGCGATCGAGCGGGTTGTTGCTACCTCTACCCATTCCCGATCGTATTTCGGAGGACGTTACCGTGAATTTTATCGAGAGGCTGCCCCTTACGAATGGGTTTGATGGGGTGATGGTTGTGGTGGATCAACTCGCCAAGTATGCGCACTTTATCCAGCTTACTCATCCTTATACAGCAAAATCCATTGCAAAGTTGTTCGTTGAGTACGTCGTGAAGCTTCATGGGGTGCCACGGTCAATTGTTTCAGAGCAGGATCAGATTTTTATGAGTAACTTCTGGAAGGAGTTCTTTAAGATGCATGGATAGAGCTAGCAATGAGTTCGGCATATCATCCACAAACCGATGGACAGACGGAGGTGACAAACCAGACTTTGGAACAATATCTTCGGTGCTACGTACATCAAATCTTGAAGAAGTGGGAGGGACTCTTACCTTAGGCTGAGTTTTGGTATTATACGACTTATCATGCCTCGATCGAATTCACGCCCTTTGAGTTGGTGTAGGGACGGGCGCCACCCACGCTCGTTAGCTATCCGATGGAGAAGTCTTTGAACGATGAGGTTGATCGAGAATTGATGAAGTGAGACTTGATGATCCATGAGATGAAAAGTAACTCGCTTGGGTCGATCAACAGCATGAAATAATACTACGATAAGGGGAGACGTGAGGAGGAATTCGAGCTAGGAGATTGGGTCTACTTGACATTGCGACCGTTTCGTTAACGCACGATTTTGCAAATGGAGGTGCATAAGCTCGAAAGTTGTTACTACGGGCCTTACCAAGTGATGGAGCGCATTGACAATGTTTCTTATCGACTCGACTTGCCGGAGGAGTCCCAAATTCACTCAGTCATTCACATCTCGCAAATGAAGAAATGTTTGGGCAAAGCGCACAAGATGGGGACTCGGCTACCCGCCATGGCTTCGGATGGGAAACTTATCTTTCAGCCAAGACATGATTTAGAATATCGCAAAGTGAAAAAAACTGGTCGGTTCCATTGGAAAGTCCTGATAGAATGGGACAAATTGTCAGAAGAATAGACGACATGGAAGAACTTGGACGAGATGCGCGCCCGATTTTCATCTTTCATCCTTGAGGATAAGGATTTGCTTGAACGGGGAGGATAAAGAATGCTTATAGTCGCGCATATCATGCGCCCAAGAGGGAGACTCGAGCAGCGGCAGAAGCACACGCAGCGAGGCATGCGCGAAACGTATGCGCTGAGCGTGATGTATGCGCAAGCAGAGCGCGGACGGGCACTGGGAAGGCGATTAGGGGCCAGGCGAGCGCGGACGCGCGTGAAGACGATCCGAGACTTCCGCGCGCGGGCGAGACGATGCGTCACGGAATAGCACGCGCGACAGCCGGCGGGCCGCGCAAGGCAAAACGCGTGCGGGTGCCTGACACGGGCGAACAACTGTGCACCTCCTTCGCGCATTCAATTTTACATTTATAATTATTGTCTACTAACAAAAATATACATTAAATAGTATAACGATTTATATTTATTGTCTACTAATGAAAATATACATTTAATAATATAACGATTTATATTTATATTTTAAAATAATACTCTTTGCCAGAAATACAAATATATTTCTAATACTAATTAAATTTCGAATAATGTAAAAAATAAATTCTACAAGATAATCAATTCAATTTATAACATAATAATTTCTAAGTTCTAACATAAATTTCTATAATAAATAAAAGTTTGTCAATAATAAACAAAAAAATTAAAAAAAAATAAGACAACCGACTAGTGGTAACTTGTACCTCTTCGTTGCTCATTTTCGCTAAAAATTGCCGGAATTTCAAAGAATTTACGATTTTTGAATTTTTTTTTATAAAAATATCAGAGACAAAACGATCCAAAACAGGGCTGTAGTAATAATTAAGGGTGAAATAATATATAGAAAAAATAAAATAGAATACATTTTTGATTTTTGAATCGAAGCGAGTAAGCTGCTCCGCTCCGCCTCCTAGTCGTTGCCTCCACATCGACTCCGCTTCCCTTCGCTTCGCGCCACCATCACCCCAACAGCAGCACAGATCTCTCTTTAGGCCATTGCTTCAATTATCAGGTGTGCCAAATTCAGATATAAGATCTGCTCCAATCTCTTTCGATAGTACTAAAGCTAGCTTAATTACACAAACGTGTTATATCTGATAAGAATATTTGAGATTGGGTTTGGGCTTTTTTATTAATTCCTAATTTGAGATTTGAGTCTTTTCTTTGATAAGTTGTCTGGCCGAGCACCAATCTGAACTATTGTACGGTCGTGTATATAAAATTTGAGGCTTTTGTTTGACAAGATATGTCTTGCCGAGCACCAACCTGAACTATTTTACTGTTGTTACATTGAAACATTGATGATTTCTTTGATCTGAAAACTAACACGGAAGTTCTATGTATAGACTGCTGTAAAATCTTCAAAAAATGATGTTGAATCACGTTGAAAATGTTTTTGGCGTTTTCACTTTGCTAACTTAAAATGATATGAAGTTGGTGTTCTAACTTGGCATTTAACTTGCAGAAAATGGCTTCAGAACCTAAGAACGATGACACGGAATTTGTCACATTGGCAGATACTGAGACTAAGAAGACAAAGAAGAAAAAAAGCATTCTATCAAGGATATGGGATGCACTATTTAGAGTACATAGAGATGATTTCCAGAAGAGATTGGAACATATATCTAAGAAAGAGGCAGCTGTTCTTGCCAGAATCACTAAGCGTTCTCGTAGTTGCCGGAGGATGACAAGGCACTTTATTATATTTTCTGTTCTTATTGAGGTAAATTCTTCCATTATTCTTTTGAGAGAATAGTATTGAATTCCACTGGTCTTAGTGGTGTGTATTTGATTTCCTTAACCCACGTGGCTAAGAATCTGTTGTTTTACTCCCCTCTAGGTTATTGCAGTGGGTTATGCTGTCATGACCACAAGATCTTTAAACTTGAACTGGCAAGTTAGAGCTTTGCGAGTCTTACCTATGTTTTTGCTACCCGCATTGTCTTTCATTACTTATTCAACACTAAGAAGCTTCTCAAGGATGCGTAAGTGTCTCAGTACTCTTTGTATTAATTCTTTATATAACTCAACTTTTTTTTTCCTCTTTGGATACACATGATGTATATGTTCTTGATTGTTTTTATGATATTGTCCTGATTTTTTCATAAATTTCTCCAACAAAAACTACTTATTGCTTACTTATTTGTGAAGTTTACTATCCAAAATTTGAATGGTTCTGCAATGTGAAATATGATAAGGGTCATTATGGGGTTTTATTTTATTGGGGTTTTATTTAATTGCTTTACTTTATTACAGTGGCAGTTGATAGAAAATTAAATCTGTGACATAGTTTTATTATTTATTTTTATCACTAAATGTTCAATTGCTTTCTGAGAAAGGTACATAGTTTTACAACTTTTATTTTTATATTTTCTATCTCTAAATGTTCAATTGCTTTCTGAGAAAGTCTTTGGTACAAAGCTTTGTTCTCTATGAAGGCCCTAAATTTGAGCCCTAGAAAAATCTTAAGTTCTGGGGCGAGAATATTTTCTTTGACCTCAGATAGCTACTATTTTTGCTTGTCATAAGAAATTTTGTTCTGGATTGAGTTCTTAAAGAGTTACAGGCTTACAGCATTGTTTGCACTTTCTTCTGTTAACTGAAGTTCAGAAGTTCCAGTTTAATGGTTAAGTGACTTAGATTTATGAGCAGAAAAGATTTTAGCATATCCCATTCTTATTGAAAGATTTGTATCTTTATAGTGTTAGTTGGGGTTTGTTTCTGTAACTGATCTCGATAGTGCAGCTGAGAATTCTTATAGTTGGTAGATATTTCTGTACTTAATTCAATGCTGACTTCTTCTACTGAGATCATAATTCATGACCTTGATAAGTGTGGCCGGAAGAAAAGTAACTGAAACATGTAAATCATGTTTTTTTTTTTCTTTTTTTTTTTCTTTTTCTTTCTTTCTTTCTGTGTGCTCAAATATATAGCTTGCTCAGATTGTTTTTGGACTATATAGATGTCCAGAGTGAATGAGACGAACCTAACTCTGGGAATGTCATTCAATTTTACACGTGCTGAACCCTTTTGGTATATTGTTGACTCTTAACACATTAGTTCTCCTGAAGTCATGGATAATTTTAGAATTACCATGCAAAGGATTACTCAAAGTAACTCCTGAGTGATGAGTTTCTTGATTCACTAATTTTCACTGGAACTTTGGTGAAGTTTACCTGAACTATGGTTTTATGTTTTAATTTGATAGTATCTTAGATATTTGGGTCTTCATATTGAATTTGGAATTGTGTAAAATACTATGGTTTTGCTTTACAGTTGGTAGTTTCTTTGGATAATTCCTAAATAATATTATCTTTGGAGTTTAAAAAAGTAGTTGGTTTATTATATGAGAAAATGGAGGAAGGTGGAGAGGAGACTGTTTGCATTGTGATTTATTTCTTTCCTCATATCACTGGTTTTGCTGTTATAGTTTTCTTCGCATTATCTAAATACTAATTCGCCGCTTAATTATGGTATTTAAATTTCCTTTCGTTCTAACTTGTTTTTCATTGATAAATTGAAGTAAAATTATTTTATGTAGCTTTTGCTCTGCATTTGATTCATTCGTAGCAGATAAGTATATTAAAGCTATTATTGAAAGTAGTTTGAGCGGAATCTTTTCTGTTGACAGCTATACATATTTGGAATATCTACTTACAGGTGACAGGAAGGACCACAAGACTTTGGACAAGCTTCGGGCAGAGAGGCAAGCCAAAATTGACGAATTGAAAGAGAAGACAAATTACTACATCACTCAACAGCTAATACAGGTAAAGACTTTGGCTTCTAGATTATTAGCTTAGATAAATTTCTCTGTGATTCTGCTACTTGTTCCCTACCTCCAAGCGTCGGTACTAATAGTGCTAGTTGAAAGGTTTTCTTATTTGGTGTATTTTGTTCTAGTTGTTCTTAATGTAAAGAAAATTTCAAGAAACTGCAACATCTAAATTCATCAAGTGCGTTATTGTAATTATCCAAACCAAAGCACCACAATGCATTAGTACTAACCTCAGGGGAGGGTCTGTGGAATCCATGGTTGTCGAAACCGGACCGAACCGGCCGGTCGGACGGGGACCGGTCAATTGACTAGTCCTGTTCGCTAGAATGAACCGGTTGCTAGCGAACCGGTCAGAACCGGTCAATTTTTTTAAAATAAATTTTTATATATTTAAAATGTTATTTAATATAAATAAAATACATATTTAAATGTAGTGGATATGTACAAGTTATTATTTGTTAGTTTAAGTACTTAAATGTTTTAAAATTGATTAAATATTTAATTAACAAAGTTTTTATATATAATTTTTATTATATAAAATATTATATATGTTTAAAAATTTTAATAAAATAAATACTGGTCCAATTGGTTTAACTAGTGGTCGGAAGTGGACCAGTGAACCATTGAACCAGTAAATTGATCGGTTCGATAACTGGTCCGGTTTTGAGAACCTTGGTTGTATTCAAGGTTCTAAGAAGAAGTCAAACTAGTGGTTCAATGGTCGGACCAGTGGTTGAACCCGGTATTTGATTTATTAATACTTTTAAATATATAGTACTTTTTATAATAATTCTTTTATTTTACTAAATATTTGGAGTATTAGAAACATTCAAATGCCCGAACTAATTGATATAGTAATTTATACATATCTAACATATTAAATATGTATTTTATTTATCTTAAAATATGTTAAAAAATATTAATATTAAGTTTATAAAAGATAAAAAAAAAATAAAAAAAGAACCGGTCCGTCTGGCCGGTTTTTGACTGGTTCCACCTGTCAAAGACCGGTTCTTGAGCAACCGGTTTTTCCAACTGGTCCAACTTCTCTTAACTAGGGTTGTATTTCCTAAAGTTTTTATTAGGCTCTTACGTGAAATCTTCAGTGCAGAGGTACGACCCGGATCCAGCAGCCAAAGCAGCTGCAGCCACAGTGCTAGCATCAAAGTTGGGTGCAGATTCTGGTCTCAAGGTATATGTGGCGGACGATCCCAACCCCAGTGCCCTAACTGGAAAGAGCAATGATGTTGAGCTGACATCCAATACTGCTGGTTTGAGACATAGAAAACAGCCGCACAAGAAACCCAGTAGCATAGAAAGCGGGCCTGTGAGTCAACCTGAAGGAGAAATGGTTAATCCTGCTAGGTTTGAGGTGGCTGACTTGTCTCTGCAGAATCAGTTTGTTGTCGAGCATCACCCTCAAGCAGGTTTGACCTCGAACGAAGGAGGATGGATTGCCCGACTAGCTGCCTTGCTTGTGGGGGAGGATCCAACCCAGTCTTATGCGCTTATTTGTGGAAATTGCCACATGCACAATGGTAAAATGCAATTTTTGATTATATTACTCTAAAACCACCCTCAACTAATTTTTTCTATGGACTGTCGTTTTGCAATTTACTTTTCATGAATATTTGGGTCAATCCAATATTTGGTTTATTTGTGAGGCGAGTAGGGGGAGAGAATAAAATGCATTATTCCCGGGTTACGGTGGCAAAGCGTAAAATGCGTCTTGATTCAGAGGTTTTGCTAAAAGAATTTAAATGGAGAGAGAATAAACCATACATAATTCAGTGGTTGGTGTGAATAAAATAAAATCCAAGCGTAAGGGGGTCTTGCAAGTAGAATTTAAATGGGGACCCATGAATGAAGGAGGATCTGGATTGTCTTATAGTGAAGTAATGCTACTCTTGATCTTGATATTTTTTTCTTTTTTTGCACTTGATTTCGTAGGGCTTGCAAGGAAAGAAGACTTTCCATACGTCACTTACTACTGCCCGCATTGCAATGCATTGAATAGGCCAAAGCAATCTGATGATCGTGTTTCTGTTTCTGATTTCCCTACTCCAACCTCTTTGGAAATGAATGTGGATAATGCAGTTGTTGGGAGACCTTGTGGCTCGACTGTGGACAAGGTTTCTCCAAGTGCTAGTCCTGTCGCTGATGATACCGTGGACAAGGTTTCTTCAAGTGCTAGTCCTGTAGCTGATGCTTCCGTGACTTCTGAAAGCTGAATTGTGTCTTTATTATTCGAATTAACAATTGATATATGCATTTTTGTACAAGTATGTTGAATTCATATAGATGCAAGATGCTTGCAAGAATTTTGATTGCTGGGGAAATTTAAGAAGGTTTTCCCTTTTAATTTGTGCCCCAAGTTGGTTTAGGTATACATTTTTATACCTGAACTGTGTTTTATTTACAAGATTTAGGAGCTTGTTTGACAATCTGCCTAATTTATACTGAAGGATTGCAACTCGTGTATCAACAAGGTTTTCTTTCTCTTCTCAATGGATGATCCAAATGTTAAGTACACAAGAATTACTTTTGATATCGGATACCCAGGGACGAATCTAGAAAAATAAACTACTAGGGGGCAAATTTTTTTTTTTTTATGATAGATATATACTCAACAACAAATACATAAAGTTACAATTTAGAATTAAAAAAAAAAAAGGTTGTAATAAATAAATACATACCTTTCAAACTTCGTTTCTACTAGAATTGTGCTCGACGTTCTTTCAAGTCACAAAACCCATAAATGATTGATTCAGTATTAATAGATCGTCCAATTTCTCTTTCGATGAAGATAGTCAAAGAATTTAGAAGAAAGTCATCTTCCATTTTACTTCGAAGTCTGGAGTTAACAATAGCCATTGCCGAGAATGCACGCTTTGTTGTCGCCGTAGACACAGGAAGAGTGAGAATCAACCTAATTAATCTATCAATCAACGGGTAAACCAAAGACTTTCTACTTGTTGCCATCCATTGACACAAATCAAAGATAGTACACAAAGTTTGAAATTCTAAATGTTGGATAACATCAATCTCATAATGTTGCAATTGAGTTTGCTGTAAATCTTTTTCATAATCCGTGAAGTCCCTAGGATAGAATTCAGTGACAAGGAGGCAAGCATCATCTATATTAAAAGACAATCGAGAATTGCGAGGGTTGAACATAGAGCTAAGAACAAGTAGCTTCACGGCATGCTCACTAAACCTGTTGTTTAGCTCTTGCAATTGACAATCTATTATAACCGTAAAATGTTTACTTGTTCCAAGATCGTCCTCCTCTTTCCACATATAAAGCATTAATATCAGGAATATCTATTGCACGACTTTCACAAAAGACTTTACCTTGGAAAACAGACTGTTATATCCATCATCTCTCATTTTCTGGATAAGACTCTTTGTCGTCCCAACAAGATGCATAACATTCAGAATATCTTGAGATTTTCGTTGTAGAGCATGACAAAGAGCATCAGTTATTTTCATGATTTCCTTCATAAGATGTAAGATGAAGATGAACTCGAATGAAGTTAAAGAAGTGTAAGCTGAATCAGCATCAGCTCTTTGATCGCAATTTCCCTCATCAATGATGCACAACAAAATCGAGCAAGCGGCACTAAACATCTTTAACAAACTGGAAATTGACCTCAAGTGTGAGCCCTAACGTGTATCACCTGCTCGTTGTAAACTCCCAATTTGATTTTGTCCAGACCCTTTTTCAAGCTCATCAATAGAAATCAAGTAAGCAATATCAAAAGCTTGAGTCGCTTTCAATTCATCGACGCGTTTACAGGAAGAACCCACCACATTTATAATGAGATTTAATTTTGTTAAAAAATGGTGGATGGAAATAACTTCTCGAGATGTGCCAATTAACACCAATTACAAGCGATGAGCTAAACAATGCAGATAATATGCAAATGGACATTCTTTAGAAATTAATGCTTGTAGCCCGTTGAATTCACCCCTCATATTACTCGCCCCATCATATCCCTGACCCCGAATATTTTGAATGTCAAGATTGTGACGAGAAAGTGTAGAAAATATTGCATCTTTTAAAGTTTGCGCCATCGTATCGGACACATGTACGAGATCAAAGAAGCGCTCCCCAATAAAACCACCAATATCAACAAATCTCAAAACGATACTCATTTGCTCCCTTTTTTATTCATCTCTGGCCTCATCAACAATAATGCAAAACTTTGCATCCCCAATTTCCTCACGAATCACCTTTTTTATCTTCATTGAGATAACAAGTAAAATATCTGTTTGTACAGACGGGGATGTATACGAGGCATTTTGAAGTGCTTTGTCTAACACAACATTTGCAATATTTTCATTAAGTTTCTCCATCGCACTCAAAAATTCAAGAAAATTACCACGATTAAGAGAATCTCTTCTTTCATCATGACCTCTGAAAGCCAAAACCTGACTCGCAAGATACCGGACTGAAACAATTGAGGCTTCGAGCCGTAACCGATTTTTTGCAATTTGTTCAGAACTTTGTTTTTTCAATAAAATTCCGAACATGTTGTGCTTGATTCATTAAGTCTTCACATGATTTCTCGGCAATATTGTATAATGAATTATGATCTTTTCCAATGTGATTAAAAAATGCACAGTTTTTCCCATTCCATACCTTTCCAGTTTTTGAAGCCATCAACAAAAAAAGTATTCTGACTGTGATGCTTACCTGGTTTGTTGAACAAATAAAAGGTAAACAAAATGCAGCATCACCCGTAGGAGAGTATTCTAACCAAGACGGAAATATCTTGAACCATGACACTTGAAAACGACGAGACCCGCTCCATGATATTCTCCAATGTATTGATAAGGACCATAGTTAATATAAGTCCGTCGAACTTCATCAATTTTATCCACCGGATAGCTTGATATTGGCATACGTAATCTTGGGTAACGTTCAAGCGTGTTGATATTAAATACCACCGGGTCGATTCTAAGTGATTTTTGAATCTGGTTATCAGCTTTCTCAACAATTGGTGGTCCTCCTTTATCTTCCTCAACCTGATCATGTTTTCTTTTAAAAAATGAATCAATTCTTGATGACTTCCCCATACCCTGAAAATAAAATAAAAATAATGAATACTAATATTAAAGCGCCTAAAATATGGTGCTTAAAACAACAATAAAAGTAGACAAATACAAATGTTAATTTGGCTTAATTGCAATTAAAATCACCACCTTTGAGCTTTTTGCAATTTAAACTCAACCTTAAGGTAATTGCAAACAAATCGCAACCTTTTTTTAATTTTGCAACCCGAACCCAAAGTTGATCGGCAGCGAGCTCCTTGCCTACGTGTCCGGCAGGCCGTCTCACGTGTCATCAGGCTTCGCTGACGAGGATTCCACAGTGTCACACACACTCTGGCAGGAAGGGTAAAATTGTAACTTCAACCCTTACAAATACAAAATGAGGGTGTATTGCATTTCAGAATCACAAATTAATCTGTAAAATTAGGGCATAACTGTTTCAATTTTCCGCCATTCATCACGATACAAGGACCGTTTCAATTTTTTTCCAGATGTTCTGGTGATTGTCGCGATTCATGAAGAAGAAATTGGCGCCAGTTGGTCGCGACATTCGTGCATCGGCAATGGGAAAAAACAGGTAGATCCAAAATTATTCTTCTGAATCTCATATGTCGGCCCCAGATTTCGTGCTGAAATTTTTGAATTTTAGGATTTGCCCTTGTTGTCCGACAGCAAACAATGGCAGAACAATATTTTTATGTTTGAATTCATGTTAAATTAGGGTTTTTTTCATGATAAATTAGGGATTTGTGTGAAATCTGGTTTCCATGTGAATTCATGATTTTTTTATTAACATTAGAGTTAATACGAAATGAGGGTTGTATTGCAACTAGGGTTATCACAAAATTAGGGTTTTTTGCATTTTAGGGATTTTTAGTTATTTGAAGTTTTATTTAAAACTGAATTTATTTATAAGTTATGTCTAAGATATGGGATTGATTATATCCCTATGTTTGATTGCAGTGAAAAATTTTCCCTCTTCTTCAACTATGATGGTACATTTATCAAGATTGGAGATTCAACTGAATACTATAGTGGGAATTTCAAGTCTGTGTATGGCTTAGACACTGATAGGTTTGGATACTTTGATTTGGTAGAAGAAGTAGAGAAGCTGGGGGTTAAGGAGTTTGATAAAATAATGTATCAAGATCCAGGGAAGCTGGGATATGCTGGTATGAAAGAGATAGTGGATGACAGTGGTGTTATGGAGATGATCAACACTGGCCATAAGCTTAGATCTGTAATTAAGGTTTATGTTGCTGCTAGTAATCCTAATAAGGAAGATGGAGATGGTGTTAAAGTAGTTCATAATGCATCTGAAGGGAGTAACTCTGCAAACAGATTGGCAGATGGTGATGGTGATGTGAATGTTAAAGATAATGCAACTGGAGATGAACACCTAGATTCTGATACAAATATAGATTATGATGATGATGCAAATGATGGAGATAAAGCAGTTGGAGGTGGAGTGCTACCAGATGTGGCTATGTGGTCTGATGAGGATAGTGCTGATGAAGATTATTTCCCAGTGGGTGTTAGCTCATCAGATGATGATCTGACTGATGAGGAACATGCTTCTGATGATGATGAATACCTTGAGGCCAGACAAAATTTGAGGAAATGTAAAAACAAGATGGTTGAAGAAGATGGTGGAGCAAACAATACATTCTCAGATTGTCTGCCTCAAATGGACTTGGATGGGTGTGAAGTGCTACAGCATGCTCTCATGTCTGAGGAGTCAGACAGTGAAATGGAGATGAATGATGAGGGAAATCGCATTAAAAGGAAGCTGAGGGTTATTTATGATCCTAGGTGTGATCATAATGCTCTTCAGTTTGAGCTTGGTATGAGATTTGAGAGTATTGACCAATGCAAGAGAGCAGTGAGAAAGGTGGCCATTGTTCAAGGTAGAAATATCCAAAATATGTGAACTAATAAAAGGCAGTTAGAGGTAAGATGTGAAGATGGGTGTCCTTGGAGATTATATGCAAGTGCAGTTACAAGAGATGGTACTGTTGCTGTAAAACAACTCCAAGGGGAACACAAATTCCACAGAAATGTCCACACAAGGCAAGTAACAGCTGGCTGGATTGCTGAAGAGTTTCTGGAAAAGTTTAGAAAAAATCCTAACATGACAATTGCTCAATTGGTAGATGTAATTTCTGACAAATATGCCATTGAACCTAGCAAATGGAAGCTTTACAGAGCAAAGTGGACAACAATGGAGATGCTTAGAGGTTCTGTGTAAGAGCATTATGCTACTTTGAGGAGTTACATGTTGGAGTTGCAGAGGGTTGACAGAGAAGGGAAGTTTGAGTTTCTTTTGGGTGATCATTCTACATTTAGGGCCTTCTATGTAGGGTTTAGTGCACTGAAAAAAGGTTTTTTGACAGGGTGTAGGCCAATTTTGGGTCTTGATGGCTGCTTCTTAAAAACATTCCTTGGAGGAGCA